AATTGTGTGAAAGCTTTGTACGAGTGGGAATCAATTTTTAAAATCAGGTCAGCTTTACACATTGTCCAACGTATACACAGCTCAGCTCTCCTTGAATTGTGTGAAAGCTTTGTACGAGTGGGAATCAATTTTTGAAATCAGGTCAGCTTTACACATTGTCCAACGTATACACAGCTCAGCTCTCCTTGAATTGTGTGAAAGCTTTGTACGAGTGGGAATCAATTTTTAGAATCAGGTCAGCTTTACACATTGTCCAACGTATACAGCTAAAAGCAAATTTGAATTTTGTGACAAATTGATAACAGCTGGAAAGCATTTCCTAAAATCAGCTCAACTTTACACATTGTTCAATGTATACAGCTAAGCAAAGTTTTATAAATAGCATACTAGATTAGGTACATCCACACAATTACTCATTGTTGTGTTAAAATTATTATTCTCCATTTCTGCATACTTCAGTCATTCTTTTCTTACTTCAAAAATGAATTTCGATGTTGGAGGTCCATCATACTTATCATCATCTTCATCTTCGGATGATGATAATTTTCTGTCCAATATCATTGCAGAGATTGATGAAACCGAAGAAGTAATTTGTGAATACATCAACAACAACATGATCCTCGTTAACAATTTACGTCAACACAACTACCAAGCGATCCATGGTGGCTCGATTCCCGGTCATGCAGTGATCAACCGCGATCGAGAAAATGCGCATCAGAATTTGGTCATTGATTACTTTGCCGATAATCCACGTTTTGGAGAAGATATGTTTCGTCGTCGATATCGGATGTCAAGAAGTTTGTTCCTTCGTATTGTTGATGCAGTGAAAGATCATGACTATTACTTCCAACAACGAAGTGATGGACTTGGTAGAATGGGATTATCACCGTTACAGAAAGTAACAGCTGTTTTTCGCATGTTGGCATACGGTCTACCAGCTGATGCTACGGACGAATACGTTAAAATAGGTGAGTCAACAGCAATTGAAAGTATGACAAAATTTTGTCGTGCTATGGTGGAAATATTCGCAGAGCGGTATCTACGAACACCTAACGCTAACGATATTGCTAGGCTACTCTATATTGGAAAAAAACGTGGTTTTCCAGGAATGTTAGGAAGTCTTGATTGTATGCATTGGAAATGGAAAAATTGTCCAACAGCATGGTCTGGGCAATACACAGGACGTAGTGGGTCACCAACTATTATCCTCGAAGCTGTGGCAGATTATGATCTTTGGATATGGCACGCATATTTTGGTATGCCAGGCACCAATAATGATATCAATGTGCTGGAGTCATCTAATCTTTTCTCTAACCTAGCTCAAGGTATTGCTCCTCCCGCTCACTATGTTATTCAAGGAAAAGAGTATAATATGGGTTATTATTTAGCTGATGGTATATATCCGAAATGGGCTACTATTGTACAAACAATCCAACAGCCACAAGGTAGGAAGAAAAAATATTTTGCCATGAAACAGGAAGCATGTAGAAAAGATGTAGAACGTGCGTTCGGAGTTCTCCAATCACGATTTGCAATCGTGGCAGGATCAGCACGTTTTTGGAAAAAACATGTATTACATGACATAATGACTGCATGCATTATTATGCACAATATGATAATCGAGGATGAACGTGATCTTTATGCACCAATTCAAGAAGTGAGGGAAGCACCAACACCAGAAGTTGATATGGTAGCAGATGAAACTACAAGATTTACTCAATTTATTGCACGTTACGGAAAAATCAAGGATAAAGATGCCCATATTGCGCTTCGTAATGCATTGATAGATCATCTATGGGAGGAACACACTAATTCAGATAGTTAAGAGCATACTAAATTTGTAATTTTTACGTTGTTGTTAATGTTTAATTATGTTCTTACATTTTATTTTCTGTTGTGTTCTTGAATGTAATATTTTGGCAATATTAATAATAGGTATATAATATTTTATTGTTTTATTAGTTTAATTTTTTAAATAATAAATCATTTTGTTTGGAAAATATGTGAAAAAATAAAATTTGATATGTGAGGTTAATTGTTGAAATAGTTAAAAATATAGGGGATAAAAAATAATCATATAAAAGTAGATAAAAAGAAAGATACTGAGAATATTCCTTTTTGGTGCAAAAAATAGTGCAATGGGTTGGAGATGAATTACTGTTAGATGTGACTTTTGCACCATTTTGGTGCAAAATTTGCACCATTTTGAGGCAAAGGGTTGGAGATGCCCTTATAGAATGACGTTTTTATAAAAGTAGGAAAAAATGGGTGTATTTTGTAGCGACCGAATTTCTCCGGTTTTGGGTGTGAAATGTGAATAGGATGAAAATATGACGTTTTGTCCTTTTTCTTGAAAAAATCCACACTCACCTTTAATCCCATTAGTTAAACTTTTCCATTCCCATTTTTTACCTTCTGAACTAGACTAAAGAATAATAAACAAAATTGTTTCCACAATATTTCTAACCCGAATAAAAAAAAGGTTTTCTTCGAATTATGTAGAAACCATTAAAAAGACTATTGTAACACCCTTTCCTTATTCCTATTATCTACTACTACTTCTTCTAACTTAAAAGCAAACTTTTAAAATTACTATTTGTGCTATGGAAACACTATTCTTGCTCCAGTATATTCCAGAATAGTAAATTTATTGTTCATGTTATTCTTGCTACAATATGTTGCACAATTTTAAAATTTTCGTTCATGCTACAGTGGAATTACAGCCTTAGACATACTGTTTGCGCTGAAATGATTTTTCCCATTTAAACATTGTTCATGATACAATGATAATTTTTAAAATTTAAACATCCTCTATATGCTACAATGAATTTTTCATAAATTTTTTTGTTCTTGTAAATGATGAACTTAACATTTATCAAATACTTTATAAATATAAATCTTTTTTGATTTATTATGAAAAATTAATAAAACTTGCTAATTGGTGTATTATTTTGTTAACTGGTTTGAAAAACCACTCTATAAATCATAGTAGAAACTTTATCATTAAAGTTTTGCCAAATAATTATATATAATATAATATTATTAATTTTAAGATAGATATAATTTTATAAATAATATGCGAAGCAACACGTGGGCTTAATATTAGTTTGAGGGAATGAACCAAAGACCTCCTTATTGTCGAATTGGGATCCTCTACTCATGCATAGTGCCTCCTAATATTTGCTAATGTATCTCCACCTTTCATTTTGTGAACAAGTACAAAGTGAAAGGTGGGGTCCACAAAATGAAAGGTGGAGATGCATTAGCAAATATTAGGAGACACTATGCATGAGTAGAGGATCCCAATCCCTTATTGTCAACCATTCAACTAAAATAAAACATTATTAAATTGCATTAAAATAATTATTAATGCAGGAGAGAGAAATAGACGGATACGTGTAAATCTCCCGTAGGCTGTTTCGTACGAATAAAAAAAGGTAACCCTACGGGTCGCTAGCCAACGGAAGCGAGCCCATCATCACAAGTGCAATGCACGGAAAAATAAGGAGCAAAAGGGAGCGGGGAAGTTCTCGTTTTGTCATATTAGACCCTTACATAATTAATTTTACATTAGACATCAATTCCTTGGAACCAAACCCAGTCACCTAGAACTTAAAATTAGAACTGGGATAATCTGTGGGATAAAATTTTAAGGTGTTAGTCACATAGAACTAAACGTAGAACAAAATTTTAAGGTGTTAGTCACATAGAACTAAAACTAGAATAAAATTTTACAGTGTTAGTCAAGCAGAACTTTAACAAAACTAGAACTGGGATAATTGTACAAAATTATCCTACTTTTTTTATTTTTCTATACAAAAATGAGAGTTCTAGTCTCTCAAATTATTCCAAGTTTTAGCTTGGAACTATGTGGTAAAAAACTAGAACTCGTATTTATTTTGTTATTTTTTATTTTTTTCTTTACTTATTTCCTATTATGGTTATCACCATCATTAGACCATCATCATAATAATAATTGTCAATATCTTATAGTCTAACCAAAAGTTATTTAATAGTAACGAACATTCTTGTAAGCAATTATCAATTAATAATAGTAAGTTTAAAATACATAAATAGTATTTATATCTTCAAAAGGCATAAATATATACTTCATGATTATAAAAATTTATCCCACGTTATTTTATCAAAATATCCTGCTTCACAAAATTGTTCCTAGTTATCCCACTAAAATATCCCACTAGCGAAATATTATTCCACTTTAACAATTATCCCATTTTGCATGAAAATGTCCCAATTGACTAACACCCCCGATAACGTTCCGAATTTTTGATTTACACCTCCAAATCTCATTAACTTGTTTTAGGTAAGACCTTGTTTCAAACATAATATGGAGGTTAGGGAGTATAGAATTAATGGTCCATATAGAATTAATAAAGATTTGAGGGTCTAAACTAATATAATAAAACACAACAAAAAATGTTGCGCACTTAACCTTGTTAGAAAAAGAAAAATACTTTGCACTTACACTCGGTCATTCAAATGAATGAATGACCCAGTCCAACATATCTCTTATATGGATGATAATAGGAGAGCCCTCTATAACTATGAAAAAAAAAAATCAGAAAACCCCTTTGTGGATTATCAGAAAACCTATTTTAACTTTGAAAAATATTTCTAATAAAATCTCAAAGTTAAAGGGAATCTCCCTAGAAAATCTCGAAGTTACGGGAAAGTTCTCCGGTAATCCGTATACTTAAAGGGGGAGTTTTATGATATTTTTGAAAGTTACGAGGGCTTGTCTGACAATTTTCTCGTAACCCTACACGTTGCTAGCAAATGAAAGTGAACCTGCCCGAGCACGAGAAGCAAGGCGAGGAAAGGTGCGCGCTAAATTTCCTTGGAAAGGACAAAAGGCGCCTCGGGATTCCGCACCGCTGGATCACGAGACCCGGGCGAGACAGCGACCAACAGTACGCCGCCACGTAACGGCCCCTGGGCCCACCGCCTATCTATAAATTTGGAGACCGGACGGCCACGGGAAGTAGTAACCAACCCATTTCATTTCTCCTCAGCAATCGGAACCGAGAATTTCAAGAAGAAAAAAAAAAGTAAAATTCAAAATTTTTTTTCTTGGAGATTTTCTGGTCGATCGACAATGGATCCGACGAGGAATTTTATGAGAGATGTGAAGCGCATTATCGTCAAAGTGAGTGGTTTCTCTGATGATTATTTAGTATTTTAATTTGATTATTAACCCTAGAAATTCGCATTTATTGATCGCGTAAATTTTATACAATTTGAGCACTTAATCGTATAATTTTCTGTTATTATTATGATTTATTGGCAATTTTTATTGGGTGGGCTATTGAACCTGAAAATTTTATTTTGAAGCCTGTCAATTTTCATCAAATAATCGTGGTTAAGATTTTTCTTCTTGATATTTTGATTATTTTATTAATAACTAACTATTATGAGTGTCTCCTTTATTAACCAAAAAAAAAAAAAAATCTAAAATTTAGCTGGCTTAATACTATTTGTTTCTTTCTGTGAACCAATAAGAATGTTGTAGTAATATGTTTGTTTAAATGGAAGAAGAGATCACTCTCTTTTTCGTTAATGTTTCTTTTTTTTTACGCTTAATTTAGGTAGATGCTTTATTAAAAGAATAATTTTTCAAAACAGACTCATTCGGATTTTTATTTTTCAAAATCGACCGTTTTTTCTTTTATTTATCAAAACCGACCGGATTTTGTGATTAGCAGATTAATCACTATCCTAAATAGTCGGGGTTGCCAACCCCGACTATTTAGGAGGGTGTTAAACCCTAATTAAGGCCTTTAATTAGGGTTTAACACCCTCCTAAATAGTCGGGGTTGCCAACCCCGACTATTTAGGATAGTGATTAACTTGCTAATCACAAAATCCGGTCGGTTTTGATAAATAAAAGAAAAAACGGTCGATTTTGAAAAATAAAAAACTAAATGGGTTGATTTTGAAAAATTGTTCTTATTAAAATAATGGTAATTTTTATTTCCATTTATTTACTTAAGTTTTGTGATGTTAGTTTTAATGCAATTCTATGCTTGTTAATATATTTATATTTTTGTCTTGTGCCAGCAATTATGTTTCTTCTTCTGATATCTATATTTTTCTGTCTCTATGTTATATTGAAATTGCAAAATTTTGTTTTATAATTCATCCTCCAAAGTAATTAACTCACATATATTTTTTCTTAAATGGCAAATTCTTTAGTTAGTTTTACAACTCACGAAGCGTTTGATGAGATGTGCTAACTTGCATATGAATATCTTTGGAAAGAAGTGCTCTCTCTATGTATTTGTAGAAAAAGTAAAGTATCACACGCTCTCTTTTTGTTAAGAAAAATTCTTGAGTTGGCCAACTCATTATCTAATGAAAAATTCTTCAATGACCCAAAATATGGGACCAATATGGGGGACAAGTGAGGTGTCCCCCTCCTATTGCATAATGAGTTGGTCATCATTAATGATGACCAACTCATTATCCAATAAGAGGGGGACACATCACTTGTCCCCTCTATTGGTCCCATATTTTGGGTCCCTGTAGCAAAGCTCTTATCTAATAGGAGGGAGACCCCTCACTTGTCCTCCCTATTAGTCCCATATTTTGGGTCCATGTAGCAAAGTTTTTTTGTTAATATTTCTTTTTATTTTCTTAATATTGTTAATGTTACTTTTTAATGCTATTTGATGCTTCTTATACGTTATTAAGTTTTTCATGCGCCAGTATTATGTTTGTTCTTATGGAGGTGGATATATGTCCGTCGTTGTTGTTAGACATTGCATAAGTTGTTTTATCAGTTCGTTCTACAAAAGCAATTGACTTTTTGAATGAAGTTTATTATTACCTTTGCCTAATCTTTTTTAAATGGCAAATTGTTGGTTAGTTTTTACCACCTGCAAATGTTTGATGTGCTACTTTGAGTTAAAACTTTGCTTTGTTCTGTATAATTTTACAGGTAGGTACTGCCGTTGTTACTAGAGGCGATGGAAGATTAGCTGTAGGAAGGCTGGGAGTTCTTTGCGAGCAGGTATGTGTTCACTTACTAACTCTCTGATCTTTATCTCGTAGCACTTTATAACTGCCATGTATTTTTTGCAGCTTAAAGAACTGAACAGTCAAGGGTTCGAGATAATCCTTGTCACTTCTGGTGCAGTCGGCGTCGGCCGTCAGAGGTTGAAGTATAGAAAACTTGTCAACAGCAGGTTTATCTCCTTACTCCATCAGTATTAACTTTATTCATGTGGTATGAGCTTCGACGAATACATTTGTCTGAAGAAAATTTGGGAAAATTCAGCTAGCATAGAGTAGATTCTAGAATTGAATATTTGAAAGTTGAATATAGCACATCTAAGAGCATCTCCAACCCTACTCTCCAAATTCCACTCTCTAAATTGGAATATTCTAGGAATGTTCTAGGAATATTCCAAATTGGATAGTGGAATTTGTAGAGTTGCTCCAACCTAAATATTTTTCTTTTTATTTTTTTGTCAAAAAAAGCCATATAAATTAATAATGTTGGATATAGTTTACATTAATAATTTTATTTTTAATAATTTATTTGGAAAAAAATTTATAACATTAGAAAGGTGTCAACGAGAGCTTTAAAATGAACCCAATATTAATAATGCAATACAACATATTAAAAAAATAAAATCTGAAATAACGGTGACAAAGCATACATCGATTAATAATTTTTTAACTATATTTATTTGAAATTAAACATCTTATTTAAATTACTTAGAATGATGGCAAAGTAGTAATTTTTAAGAAATTAAATAGTTAAAAGTGGTAAAATTGTAAATAATGAAAGTTGGAAGGACAAATTTTTGAAACCGACCCTTTTTCAACTTTATTGGGCAAAATCGACCCCGTGGAAAAAAAATAGGCAAAACCGACCCTTTTCAAAAGAAAAGGGTCGGTTTTGCAATTGTGAAGGTTTTATGAAGTGCACGGGACTACTAGTCCCGTGCACTTCGTTGTCGAGAGAGCCTGCTGGAAACAAAGTGCACGGGACTAGTAGTCCCGTGCACTTTGTTTCCAGCTTAAAAGAAATGGGGATGAAGATGTACTCGAACTGAATTTTCCCTTATGTTGTCCAATACGCAAATATCAATTGGTGAATTGCTAGCTAGGGAAAGCTCATTGCCCCCCACCGAACCAACATTATATAATAAATTGTCAAGCTTGATGTGAGAGAGTTGATAAAATGGGGAAGGTTAAGATGATGACCTTCGCGTGCATCATAGCCAATGGAAACAGTAACCAATACCCATTTTTCTTCTATAAACAAGGGAATAGTTGAGGTCTTTCCAAGGTAATAGAAGGCAACTAGACATTTGAATTGAAGGGCTCTTGGAAACAAAGTGCACGGGACTGCTAGTCCCGTGCACTTTGTTTCCAGCAATCTCTCTTGACAACGAAGTGCACGGGACTAGTAGTCCCGTGCACTTCGTAAAACCTCCATAGTTGCAAAACCGACCCTTTTCTTTTGAAAAGGGTCGGTTTTGCCTATTTTTTTCCCATGTGGTCGATTTTGCCCAATAAAGTTGAAAAAAGGTCGGTTTCAAAAATTTGTCCAAGTTGGAATAGTGATTTGGAGAGTCTCTTCAAATTTTAGCTTCACTCTCCAAATTTGGAGAGTGATTGGAGAGGATTCACTCTTCAAATTTGGAGGGGTCCCCATTTTGGAGAGTGGTTGGAGATGACCTAACATAAAATTCAGGAGGAACTTGAGCCGACCTTTCATGTCATCTATTTATTTATTTTTTCTCTGGGCATACTTAGGCCAATGCTTCTGCAATATAATTCAAGAATTGAATCTTTGAAAGTTGAATATAGCACACCGCGGACCTTTCATGTCAACAATTTATTTATTTTTGCTCTGGGCATACTCAGGCCAATGCTTCTGCAGTCTAATTGTTTCCGGTTGGTCTCTCTAATTTCATCCAAGAGTACCTTTATTATCCATTAATCAGAAGCCAGTCCTTTCCTATATAAACTAACAATATCCAGCAGAAAGTCAACTTTTAAGTATCATACCTCACAAGTTTTGTTCAGTTCTGTAGGTTTTGTTACACCCTTTTTCCTCTTGTTTCTTCCTAGCTTATGCTAATCTCATTTTTGTTCCTCAACAGTAAAAAATTATCGGTTTAATTGCACATAGACCCCATTCATATTGTCATCTTGAACTCAGTAGCCCTGTTGTTTCATTGTTGCAGATAGACCTCCTGAGTTGAATTTTTTGTCTCTTTTACCCTCTAATATATCACTAATTTTAGCCTTAGATATAATATCTGTCAAAATTTCACCTTGGGAAAAGTCAACAAAATAAAAAATAACCTAGGGGTCTATCTGCAAGAACAAAACCACATGGGTAGTTAGTGAAAAACAGTGATACTAAGGGGCCTATGTGCAATTAACCCAACATTTTTTTTACCAATGAAGAAATTCTTAATTGTTACATAGTCTTCTGCCTCCACATTTCTTTGTGACTCATCTCATTCTCATGTTCTGGTGCATGAAAAAGTAAAGAAATCTGTACCATGAAAGTATTTATAAGTTGTGTAGGAAATTTTGTCAATATTTTAATGAGCACTTGATATCTAGGATTACGATGATTTAGAGGCACACTTATCATCCTTCCTTGATTTTTCTGGGAGATTCATATATTGGCCACTCCGACACTATCTTATTAACCTCTTTCAGGCATTTGCATTCACATATTTTAGCTTAACAGATCCTTCGAAATCGTTCTTCTTTACATTCAATGATTAGTTTCATTTCATGAACTTCTGATCAGCTAATTAGATGCTTGGCCAGCAACAACAACAATGAGTTGCAACCTTCCTACTTCTGAGGTTGTCTAGCTTGACCAGTACTACTCAAATCTTTAGCTATGATATCCTTCAGTGTGCCACTAACATCAGAGATGTATGCCTATTAGCAACAGATTTCCAATAAAGTAGCCATCTTATGTAGGGGCACGTATTGCAATGGTAAGAGAGAGTTATGACTTGAGATGAGAGCTCTTGGCCATCAACATGAAGTGACGGTTTGCAATTTGGGTGGAGATTCAAAATCAACCATCTAGCTAACACCAAAGTGTGTGCTAGTTAAAAAGAAACTTTGAAATATTATTCTAAAAGGCCCACTAGATTTATGATTTTCTTCTTTGATGTCAAAATAACTTGTTATTTTGCAGCTTTGCTGATTTACAGAAGCCACAGGAAGAACTGGATGGAAAGGCATGTGCAGCTGTTGGTCAGAGTGGTCTAATGGCTTTGTATGATGCCTTATTCACTCAGGTATGCTCTGAACTTAATTGCAAAAATTTATGACCTTCACTTCACATCGCCTTTTCCTTAATTCTATTCATGTCATCTTATAGTTTGATAAATTTTTCTTAAATTCTTAGTAACTAATACATTTTTCTTTGCAGCTGGATGTGGCATCATCTCAACTTGTTGTGACTGATAGGGACTTCAAGGACCCAGGTTTCAGGGTGCAGCTTATTGATACTGTGAATTCCTTGTTGAATCTCAGAGTCGTTCCTGTTTTCAATGAAAATGATGCAATCAGTACCCGTAGAGCTCCATATGAGGTACATTGTCATGCAATGACAATAATGCCTTTTAACCATGTACAGGTGTATTTCCATGTGGACTTTAATGCGAAACCTTATTTATTTGTTTCTAAGAATATTCGTTTTTGTATCAAGGTCCTTCACCAAATTGCAACCGAGAAAAAAAGTTTTCCCTATGCTTTTTCTCAAGCAAATAGTTAAGGAGCCCAGAGAATGTTTTGATGATTACAATTAAATTTATTAGTTAATATTTTACAACATTGAATCTTAGAAGCCCAGAGAATGTTTTGATGATTACAATTAAATTTATTAGTTAATATTTTACAACATTGAATCTTAGAGGTCACCTACATGGGCCAGACTCTATAAATGCTTGATAAGACCTATTGCCATCGCCTTTCCTGGCATCTTTTTTGAATCATCTTGCCTGTTTAGTCTGTCTCATCATTAAAACTTTGTCTTATTTTCAGGACGCATCTGGTATATTTTGGGATAATGATAGTTTAGCAGCGCTACTGGCTTTGGAGTTGAATGCTGATCTCCTTGTATTGCTTAGTGATGTGGAGGGCCTACTTAGTGGCCCACCTGGCGAACCTCATTCCAAGATCATACACACATACATTAAGGATATACATGAGAAGGAGATTACTTTTGGGGACAAATCAAGGGTGGGAAGAGGCGGTATGACAACAAAAGTGAAGGCAGCAGTTCATTCTGCTGATAGAGGAACTCCGGTTGTGATCACAAGGTACTTTTAGCTGTGTTTGTTCTTGCTGTTTCAGAAGCCAAACTACATCTTTCTTTTAGTATCGTTTCATTTTTAACATTCATGTACCACACTAGGGAATCTTTATTTGTAGAATTTTCTAGATCTTGAGCATTTGCTGCTGCAAGAATGTTTATACAAATGTTATATTCTTATTTACAATATCCTATGTCAATGATATTGGTATCGATTTGAGGTCATAGCTCATGGTGATGCTATTTTCCAAACTGGCATTTATGTAAGATTCTGTGTTGAAAGCCATAAACACACTGTATCCTCTTTTCATTTCTTGTTATACTGTTTATATCAGTTCACCGCAAAAACGTTAATAGTTTTGGCAGTGCTGTTCTCCAAAACTGGCATTTATGCATTGGTGTAAGATATGGTGTAGAAAGCCATACAAGGGTGCGGATGCATTAAACTCACTATATTCTCTTTTCATTTCTTGTTACATACTGTTTATAGCAGTTCTCTGCAAAAACGTTAATAGTTTTCTTATATCTAGTTATGAAGAAGGCCCTTTATTCAACTTGAGCATTGGGCCTTAGCACACAGTTTCTTATGTAGAAAATCATATGATCCTTCATATCACCTCGGTGGAAACCCTGCAACATAAGAAAGAAACTCATCAACTTTTCATGAGCAAATCAACTTGTCATTTTCTAGATGCGTCCAGGTTGTCACTAGAGGAATTTGTGGTGTCTCTATTTCTGTGTGCAGAAATGTCTATATTCGTTTCAATTGTAAAATAAATCTTTTGCTTGTGTGGAAGTTTAGTGGGAGACGGGCCAAAGTAAGATTTTTTTCTTTCTTTATTCTTGCAGTGGTTTTGCTACCGATAACATTATCAAAGTACTGCGAGGCGAGAGAATCGGAACGGTTTTCCATCGAGATGCACATTTATGGGTATACCCTAAGGAAACTGGTGCACGTGAGATGGCTGTTTCAGCAAGGGAATCTTCTAGACGACTTCAGGTATTTCGTATGCCCTTTAATAACATGGCGTGCATATTCTTTACCATGCGTGATGCACCACAGCCATGCCTCAATGTAAGTCTCTTTTTTTGTTCCTATCATCTTCATCACCACCACCATCAGAAACATCTGTTCATCTCAAATAAACAAGCTTGGTTACGGACATGGTTCCTAGTTTGACACGTTTTCACAAAAGAATAAGCCGAAATCTAGTATCTGTGAAACCTGTAAGCTTGCGGCGGCAAATACTTGACAATCGGGGTCTGAAGTGATGAAAACTTTGCCATTAAAACAAGAATATTAGTTGGCTGTATGAAGATCTGTCTTATCATCATATAGTTTGAGCGGATGCAACAGGAATCCAACCTTCCAAATTCCCACGCACAGAAAAGAACCAAAAGGAACATAAACTATCTATTTTCTGTAATTGCATTCAACTGAGGACCAATATAATGACCAAGAGCCAAGTCTCCTGATTTGTCTTTTTGTTAAATCTTGTTTAGAGACATTTTTGGTGTTTATGCTAATCTTCCCATACTGAAATTACGTTTCAGAGCTTATCTTCAGAGGAGAGGAGGAAGATCCTGCTGGATATTGCTAAGGCTTTAGAAGCTAATGAAGAATTAATTAAATCTGAAAATGAGGCCGATGTTGTTGCTGCCCAAAAGGCTGGGTATGAAACATCACTGATATCTCGGCTAACTCTGAAGCCTGGAAAGGTACAGAATTGAAATAATAGTGTTGCATTTTCTTGTGAATATGCATAATCTTTTGGAAAACGTGGCATAATTTGTATGCCATTTCTGTTTGGATTTAACCCTTTTGACTACCGTGTAGTTTCTTCTATATTCATTCATGAGAATCAGTTCAAATGGTTTTTATGTATAACCTTTCATCTAAAACTTAATTACAGATATCAAGCCTTTCAAAATCCATACGTACACTTGCAGACATGGAAGATCCCATTGGACAGACTCTTAAAAAAACCGAGGTGAGGTTTTTGGCCTGTGTAATAATTCTTTTATGTCTGAGTAGTTGTTTCTTCTCTGCAGATTAAAAATTACTTGGCCATGTGAATAAGCAAATTTGTTTATTACTTTACAATTTTTTCCTACTTCAAGAGCATTTATTGCTTGTGACTACATGAGCATTTTTTATTTTTGAACTATGGTTAAATGTTCCTGCCATAATCTAATCCAAATTTCTGGTTTACACATTTAGCTCGCTGATGGTCTAATCTTGGAGAAGACATCATGCCCATTGGGAGTTCTACTGATTGTTTTTGAATCACGACCTGATGCATTAGTTCAGGTAAAACAGCAATCTCGAATTCTTCTTGCTAGTTTTATTACTCGTACTTTGTGTATATACAAGTTGGACTACTAGATGCTATTAACTCTATGAATCCACTAGAAGCTTAGTTAGCACAGAATGACTCGTGATGCCGATCTTGTTATTTTATTTTTCTCCCGTGCTAAAGAAGAGAGATAACCACGCTAGGGCTATCCATCATTTTCAAGTTTAAAATGTCAAGTTTCTTGTGGAAAAAAGTATAAGATGTCAAGGAGTTCCTTTTATCGATATATATCTAGTTCAAAGGAGAATGCAGTTCAGTTGGCTACTTTGATATTGTGCTTTTGAAGAAGTGCCTGTAAAACCTTTCCATTATCCTTTTTCTCCTGAATCATTTTCATATATGGCGATTAGTGGAACATCAGAATAAAGGGTATTTGTTGTGGAGTTGGTTGAAAAAAGAATCGATTTGCTTAAGGTATCATATGTGGACTATTTATTGCCTGAAATGTGCGCTATTTATTGCCTGAAATTATACAGTTATATTGCCACAAGAACCCGGATAAGATTTATAAAGCTCTCAGAGGTGCAAGTGGTAATTTAAACAAAGCCTGTATACAAAATCCATTGACTCAGGTGCAACAAGGGGACATATGATATATTTAGACCTCAGGACAGAGCAAGCAATATCCTTGTCAGCTTTTCATATGAAAAAATAAAAATCATGCTTGCTACTTTGTTTAGCTACTATAAAGTGAAAAAAACTTTAACATATGAAGTTGAAGTTGTACTCAGAAAGATACTTCAACTGAAAATATCAAAATATGTTTGACTTGTACTTGAATGTCAACTGTCAATTAGTGTAGGAAGATAGCATTTTGATTTTTGACTTGAAACCTAGTATAAACATTCAGCATTGTTAAAAAAATTTAAAAAACCTATCCAAAAGATACGCGTCTTCAGTAATCCCTCTAGGTTTTCTAATCTGCATTAGGCTTCGTGTTCATGAAGACTGCAGGATACGGTTATAAGTGTCTCTTTAATTTGTAAAAGACAAGCTTAGTGCAAAAGAGAGAGAATTTTTGTGATAATTAGCTCGCTTCTTTGCATATTGGGGAGAATTTCAGAGTGTGAATACAGGGTTATCTTGGATCCGGGTAAAATACATGTTGGAAATGAGTTTTTTTGGTGATAGTCTGTGTTTATCAGTCTAATAAACTAAGAGAGACAATGGTATGTTAGCAAGCAATATGTTTTCTTAAGGAGTGTTGAGATGCCTTCAGGATTAAGACTAGAATTCTTGAATGGCTGCACCAAAATACTATCGGCAGAAAATTCAATCATGGATAAAATAATAGCAGTAAGCTAGTGAATGTAGAGACTAATGTAACAAAAGCAAACGAAAATGAATGCCTAGAGAAAAGAAATAGTAGTAGTAGACAACAAATACAAGAGAGTGCGTCAGAGAGAGAGAGAGAGAGAGAGAGAGAGAGAGAGAGAGAGAGAGAGAGAGAGAGAGAGAGAGAGAGAGAGAGAGAGAGATGTATGCTCATTCATACATTTCTTTCGCTTATACATCTCTTCCATGATTTTTTTGGGCATCACTGGAATTATGGTTCATTGTTCTCATGCAACAAACAGCTAAAATTTTATCCCAACCTCTTTTTGGGTTACTTGCATGAATTCTTTTTCTCTATTCATCTCCTTCTGAGGGACCGAACTATTAAATTGGCGGGTATCATATCCTGTTTACTGCTCCCATCCATGGGTATACCCTTAATTTTGTCTCTTTTGATGATTCTCTTCTACAAGCTATTCAAGTGTTTTCAGCAGTAGGCAAGAACTGAGTGCTTTCTTCTTTCTTGATTGTATTATGTACCTCTTATTCATGCTTTTTTTCTCCTTTGGCCTGATGGTCTAGATTGCATCTTTAGCAGTTCGTAGTGGGAATGGTCTTCTTCTGAAAGGTGGCAAAGAAGCCATGAGATCTAACGCCATCTTGCATAAGGTTAGACTTGATATCTAATTTTATAGGAAGGCAACCACCAACCCCACCCGCACCCCCACCCCCATGCCACGCAATTTCTTTTTTGATATGTTATTTATGCATTGATATCATCTTTGGTTAGATTATTACTGGAGCAATACCAGATAATGTAGGCAAAAGGCTTATAGGACTTGTCACATCAAGAGACGAAATTCCTGATCTTTTAAAGGTGAGTTGTAAGGTATAAAAAACTATACTGTCTTATTCATTATCTGCATCCTTCACCCTAAAATTCTTTCCAGCTCGATGACGTGATTGATCTTGTTATTCCAAGAGGCAGCAACAAGCTTGTATCTCAAATCAAGGAGTCTACAAAGATTCCTGTTCTAGGGCATTCTGGTATGTCAGTGCTTGTAAATATGGATTTCGAAAGCCACATCTTTTTTATATAAATATATCTTTAATCATGATGAAACTTTTCTATGTCCAGATGGAATTTGTCATGTTTATGTTGACAAATCAGCTAACATGGATATGGCAAAGCAAGTTGTTTTGGATGCTAAGGCAGATTATCCTGCAGCCTGTAATGCGATGGTATTTTTTATATTTGTTCTAAAAGTCTCGATGTTATCGATTCTCTCCCAGATTTTGTTGTGTCCACTCTATCTATCATCGAGACATGATGAGTTATATCTATCTTGTACATCTAGCATCAAATTTTTTTAGTGGGAACCTGTTTGCTGTTGGCAGGAAACACTTCTTGTACACAAGGACATTGTAGGGACTACGGGACTTAATGATTTGATATTTCAACTTGAAGCTGAAGGTACTTATAACTCACATCTACTTGAACACGAGTTTTGTCCTTGTAGCGGTATCTAGCTGTTTAATGGTACTTGTCAAACTGCTGAAATGCACAACTAGATTGAATCCATGAGTTAATTTATGCTTTAAACATCCTTGATTCCCCAGCATCAGGCTTTGATGCAAAGATGCTTTGTGTGGGGGCATCAAGATTGGGTGTAACTGGACTTGTCAAATTGCTGAGTCAAATTCTGTCCAGTCTTTGTGACCATTGCACGCTCAAACTTTGAAATCCTTTGTCAGATCATTGTTTATCTATGCAACATCTCTGTCATGTGAATAATTTTCTTTTATCTGTAGAAGGTGATCCGGAGAGGAGAATATATATTTTACAAACTGCAAAACCATATGATGATACTTCACTGTACTTTTTTTTTCTATACCTACATATTCTGATTCACTTATAATATCTCATAGTTCATCAAAAACTCAGATATTTTGAAATTTCCCTGATTTTCTTGTTACGACCATTGGTCACAAAATCAGCTACTTTTGCAAAGAATATTTAGATGTATAATATTGATACTAATATGTTTTGAGTGGCCATATTCCACCATTGCCTCAAAAAGAAAATAGTGCTTTGTCCATGACCTGTGATGTATGACAGAGTGGCATCTGTGTGAATTTCTTTTATCTTTACAATGCATGTTATAATCGTATAGACATATGTATTTCAGGAGTTGCTCTTTATGGTGGACCCCAAGCAAGTCCTAAGTTAAACATTCCTTTGGCACATTCTCTCAACCACGAGTACAGCTCAATGGCTTGCACAATTGAAATTGTTGATGATGTACATTCTGCAATTGACCATATAAATCACCATGGAAGGTAAGCTTTGGTATATCCTATCACCCATTTCCTTAACTTTAGAATTTAGGTGAAGGGTTTATGATTGGCATTAGCTCTCAGGGCCAATAATTAGTAATTGTTTTAAATGAAAGAAGTCCTTAATGTATAGTGCCCACTAAAGAAAAGTATATAATTGCTTTCTTCGATATTTACAGTGCACATACTGACTGTATAATTAGTGAAGATCGTGAAGTTGCAGAGGTCTTCCTTCACCAGGTTGACAGGTACATTTGTATCTTGACTCGTTTAGACTTGACTTCCTTATAACCTGGTCATGGCACCTGCTAATTTTCTTTTATTTTATTTGAATGATTTTTCTGCACTCACTCTATTACATGTCGATGTAAAAAAAATGACATTTTCTCTCTCTATAGTGCTGCTGTCTTTCACAATGCGAGCACACGTTTTTGTGATGGAGCTCGTTTTGGACTAGGTGCAGAGGTATGTACATTGGAATTGCATGTTCTGGTTGTTTATTGACTTTATAACCTTCTAAAATGAACTTTTGTACGAGTGATAAGGTTGGCATTAGTACGGGCAGAATTCATGCTCGTGGTCCTGTTGGCGTTGAAGGGTTACTAACAACAAGATGGTATGTGCTCACTACATCCTTATACTGCGAGTGGCATTTATGCCCTTACAAGCGTTTCCTGTTTTTTATGGTTACTGGTCCCTTTTGGTGCCTCGGAAAGCTTGAGCAATCAATTGATTTTCATAATTGTACTAGTACAACAATTGTACTCGAAGAATTAAAGAAACTGTTGAAACGTTAACATAAAAAAAAGACTATAAAAGTATGAAAAAAGTAGAAAAAAAAATAAAAAAGATAGTCTAGGGGAATAACGAAAGAAAGAAAAAGAAAGAAAAGCATTCTATCGGTCTATCCACAGAAGCGGGGACACTTTGTGCCAATGACCAGACCATATTATATAAGACAAGTTTAAAGGTATGTAGAGTTAGATTAGCCGACATGCCAATGTTATTTTCGTGTCTCTCCAATGTTTTGGACTCAGACATCTCTCTCTCTCTCTCTATATATATATATATATATAGAGAGAGAGAGAGATGGGTATGCTTCGTACCAAGCACAAAAAGTTGTGCTTGGTAGTGAGGTGACATAATCCCCTCCACTCATTCAAATGGTTGCATATCCTCATTCACTCCTCAACCCATGTGAATGTGGTCCCTATTTGAATGAGTGGAGGAGATTGTGCCACCTCACTACCAAGCACAAAATTTGTGCTTGGTACCAAGCATACCCATATTTCTTATATATATATATATATAGGGAGAGGTTCTAATAAAAACCTCCTTAGCCTAAAAACTAAAAACCTCCTTCATCCATTGGATCTAGATGAATCCAATGGCTAGGATTCAGTCAAACAGTCAACAGACACATGCATTAATTACCTCATTAATTACATCAACGCAATGAATTCAGATTCACTACCTCAACGTATCTCGAATCACTGCAGTGAATCCAGATTCACTGCGTTGATGTAATTAACCCTCTGAATATTACACACTCTTGTAGTAAAAAAGGAAAACAAATACCCTGCTATAAACAGAGGAAGTTAGATTGCTAGTAGGTAGACCTACCTTTAAGCACATGCAATATATGCTCGTGGAAGCAATGATCAATTCTCAGAAATACCATAAACCTGGAAAAGGGACTAGAGATGAGGTTAAGTCAGACTAGAGATGAGGTTAAGTCAATAGGATTTGATATATGGAGCAATTTAAGCAGATCAGCAAAATGGATTCCTAGGATTGGTCCAGAGATGTTAAAACCTTTATATCACAAGGCCAAACAGGTAGCTTTCTTTCTTTCTTTCAGGGCATAAAAAATATGCAGGCTACCTTGAAAATAGCACCTTCATTTTCTTAACCTCTATGTTGTTTTCCTCAATGAAGAATAAACAACTATTAATATCACACATCACTTTAGTCTTATTTCTATAGAAAAGAAATTTGTCGCATGCAAGAACCAAGATCAAAATGCCTTCTTCACGGATCTAATAAACATCTTTCGGTAGAAATCCTTGGATGGTGCATATTTTGTTACTTTTCATCCGGAATCGACAGAAATATTGTCACAGATTCCTGTAATTTAGGACTTTTTTTTTTGAAATAATCCCTGTCACGAAATTTTCGAACTTGTGCTTGACTGAATTGCTGTCGAATGTTCCATTAATACTGTTGACTGTTCTGTAAGACACTGACCTTCCAAGGTAAACCATATCTAAGAAAAAGGAGACCCTAACGTTTTGCAGTGCCCTCAGAAATAAGCAATGAAAATATGATGAAATATATAATAGTTTGAGTTCGTAACTCTTGAATCAGGTTTTTCAGTGGTTGTTTTCTGGCTTAGTACATGAAATAAGAAACTAAAGCATGAAATATATATTAGTTTGAGTTCATTACTTTTGAATCAGGTTTTAAGAAATCTATAGTCATTACCTGGCTTACTACATAAATATATTATAAAATTCGATGAAATCTTTATCGTAAATTTGTTATGTGTGGATATTTCATTGTTAGTATTGCATGTTTGTAGCATACCATAGTGTTCTTCGTACAGCCATTTTTGTGTATATTTAATTCCATTACTTGAATGGGAGGACTCGTTTACTCGTCAATAACATGGAAATGAATTCGTCGGCATTTTCATTTCTAATCTAATTTGTGTACAATGTTATATGCAGGATCCTAAGAGGAAGTGGCCAGGTCGTGGATGGCGATAAAGGTGTTAGTTACATTCACAAGAATCTTTCACTGAAGTAAGCCTCAACTCTATGTCCTATCAAATGATGCAGTTTCTATATATAACTATTCTGTATAATTTCTGAGGGTTGATATAAGTTGATTCATGGATAAACTTCGCCTAAAAAACCTGACCTCACATTATATGTAATTTTCTACCTGGATGGCATGCAATTCAACATAATCAGCAGCTTGTAGCAAGAGACATTTGTTGAATTTAAAAAAAAATGTACTTCCTATAGGACTTTTTCGGTATTAGTCCCTCTTTCGTATTCCGAAACCAGTCCCTCAAATCATTGAAATTACTAGAACCCCCAGTTCTTAACCTGTTTCGAAATTAGTTGCAAAAACCATCAAAATTGATACTAGGTCCCCAAAATTTTAAGTTATTTTGAAATTAGTTTATCCAATCAACTGTAGTAGCAACTAGGGGGATTAATTTGGAACCACTTATAAGAATTGTGAACATAATAACAGCCTCAATGGTTTTGGGGTCAAAATAATTAAGAATAGGGGGGCCTAATAGCAGTGTCAATGATTTAAGGTGCTAATCTCAAAAAAATGAAAAAACAAACCCATACTTATAATTGGTGCTTATCGTACTGATTGGCTGACATAAAACAGTGTGACTGCTTCCCAGGTGAATGGCTGGATGCATGGCGTATCCATATGATGAGTTAACAATTTGTAGGGTGAGAAGGCTGGAAATGGTTTTGTCTACGTGATGAGATGAACATTTGGAGGCTGAGAAAGCTCTGCAGATATGTCAACATGCACTAGGAATTATTTTTTGAACTCGCGGGTTTTATAGTCGAGGAATTAGAGAGGGGTGCTTCCCTTAGGGTAGTCAAGTTCTTAGTAGCTCATGGCTAAAGTTCCACGTAGCTGGATGCATTCTCAAAAGAGAGTTAATAATGTTGATGGTGTCAGTTTTTTTTGCTTATGCTTGATGAATCTCTATTGCTTGTTGTATTTGTATGTTATTTGGATGATTATCTTAGTAGGTTTTTACGCACGATATTTTATCCTATGTGAAGATTATTAAAGAATGAAATAAAGAAGTGGAAATGTCATTTGGTTTCATTCTCCAAATCGCATTAATGTTATGATTCTCTAATTTTGTGTTGTCTTGAAAATTTCAGTCTTTGTTACATTTTTATCTCTTCTAATGTCAGCACACAAGCGCAAGCGGTGTGCTGCAGCGACTCAAATTCATGCATTGTTGTATGAAAATTTCTAATGTTTTTTCTTCTATAAGCAAATATTATTCCAATCTTATCACGCAAGTTGTTGCTTTTTCCTTAAAAAAGTGTTCCTTTTTTGTTTTGTGGGTACAAAGGTTATATAGCCCATTGATTTTTGCTCATGATATTATGATCCATAATAATCTTGTCATCATCTCTCATTTTAGTTGGACTTCTAGCACAAAAAGTTTATACAAATATTCAAGTTCAAATAGGAATTTCGAAAAAAACTATTTTGATTTTACTGCAAAAATAGCTTGTAGCAAATGTCACCGCATCAGATGATGCATGCAATACTTGTTATAGAAAATTAAATTCAGAACAATTGCTTCGGTATCTATTATTTTATTGAGGACAGTTTATTTTCCATTCAAATTTAGCGCTTGGTTGAAAAGAATTTTTTGTAAAAGTTATGCAATTTTATCATACTACAAGGAAATGAAGTGTGATTATTTTCCTACTTGGATTTGGGAAGATTTTTTTTTGAAGAGGTGGGATTAGTTTTTGTTTTTAATTTTCCATTCTGGAGCCAGAGTATTTTCCCCTCACCAAACTGGCTGCAAGAGTCGCTACATTTTTTTTCACTTGTATTAAGTTCATTGACCTCTCTTAAATAAAATTTTACCGACCAAACATGTGAAATATAAATCTGGTAATAAAAACTATACTATGAACATTTTGCCAACTAAATATCTATTAGAGGAATTAACTCAGGAGCTTATCGGCATTTGGGTAAACAGTAAAGGGTCCGTTCACATCAGCATCCATAGAACAATAGGCGATCTATCTACTGTTGGGAAATAGTACAAGAGATCTATTCGTAATTAACTTTTTAAATATTGTCTTCTTCTGGAAGCCAAACTTATATTTAAGGTTAATATACGCAAATTATTATTTTTAATTTATACGTAAACCACTTATAAAGTTGGTCTTTCTTCCAATCAGTCACATGACCCCCTTTTGCTACTGAAGTTCCCTTGAAATCCCATTGACACTCTCATTTAATCTCACGTGAAAAGCACACGACTTTTCTTGTTGAGTTCCTCAAGTTTTTCGCATGATATTTAAGTAGGGGCGTTGTTCCATGAAAGTTTTGGCGTCAGAGTGGAGCGGGTTGTAAATGGGAAGAATAACTAACTTTATAGATGGTAGATATAGATTGGAAAACTCCTCAGGGACCTCAAAATAGGGGACCCCTGAGGGGACATGTGAGGTGTCAGTTCTTAGGGGGCTGATTTACTATTCATAAACAGTACTCACCTGTCCCCGCAGGGGTCTCCCATTTTGGGTCCCTGTAGCACTACTGAAAAAGAAAAGAAAAGAAAAAAAAACCCTTTAAATATTTCCATCTTCATGGTTCTTTACTTCTCTTGCTAGCAGCTTAGCTTTCTCTGGTTCTCAATGAAGCGCCGCCCTTCAAGAATCTGATAATACCAGGTAAACTATCTTTCACTTCCTCAAAAGGAAAGACAAAAAGTTTCATTTTTTTGTAGGGATGATAAGAGGACCTCCTAAGTTTTAGAAGCGACCCTTTCCTTGCTCCAATTCCGGTTTCTACTTTTAAGTAGTCTTCAGGGTTTCTTGTGATAATCACGCGTTGCGCGTATGCGCTCGTGCGTAGGGATGGTGTATATGAGTTACCACCTCGTTTAGCGAAATGGGCTGCTAAGAGATAGAAGTCGCGAGGTATGGGGATAATGCTGGATGAAAACTTCTAGTCTTCCACCTCATTTAGCAAAATAAGCTACCAAAAGATAGAAGTAGTGTGGTCACTAGATCTGGATCCTCTCCAGTTAGGTGATAATTGGAGAGGATTCAATTACCCCAGTCTGTGTTGTGCGCAGCGGAAATTTCGGCAGAGTTTCTGGTGCACAATAAGAGAGAAAGATCGATAAGAATTCTTGTTTCTCAAAGGGAACAAGAATCTGAAGCCTAATATCCCATCAAAGTGGGATATTAGCTCTTCCTCTCGTCAGCTCTAGGACTGCGCGTCGAGGGATCCTAATAACTATTACAATAGCCACAAACTCAAACAAACCAATTTTACGTGGTTTGGCAAACTGCCTACGTCCACGGGGCAAGGAGGGGGAGATCTACTATTAAAGAGAAAAAAAATACAATGGGTTTACAACTCTCACAATCTAAACCCTCAAATAGGCTCCTTGCTTTTCTTCACAAGAAAAGGTTAGCCTCCAAATACTTTCTCTCTCTTCACAAAACTCCTTTGCTCTGTGCCTGCACACCTGTTCCCGCAGCCAAAAACTTCCTTTGCGCGAATCTCCTGCAACCGCAATATCAATCCTCAGCCTTTTGCACAAAAGATTCCCCTCTGCCTCTTTGCTGCAGCCGAAACAAATAAACCCACCTTGCACAAAGACCTAGGGTACGAATTGATGGGTATTTATAACATATGGGATCGGGTGGGCCATAAGTCACAAAGAAAACCGCAAACATCACGTTCACGTGATTGCTTTGCTGCTAATTTCTTCAATCAAATTTTTCTTCACGTGGGTTGTTGGCCCCGCCACGAGTCACATCTTCAACAATTCTCCACCTCAGCGAAGTTTTCCCAAAACTAAGCCGACACCAACCAAATCAAATATCTCACTTGTTGTGTCTAGTACGAAGTGAAACAATTCACGACAAAGGACTCAATCCATAACAAGTCGAGAATCCAAATGAGAGTGCTAACACTCTCCAAATATCAGTATCAACTCACCAAATCGATCTTACCCCCATCAAAATCCAACCCAGCTGCATCATAAAGACTGCTTACGTATCCTCTTGCCCAAGGAATCAAGCCGAACGTAGTTCACCCAAATGGCCGCGAACGACCTCAAACCAATAGAAGAGTTCGCAACCCTTCTCCAATATCATCAACTCTGCGCCTGATAGCACCTCCAATGACCTTAAACACCTCCACCCGAGGTGAACCAATGGCCATATCCAAACTATGTCTGTCAGCTGCATTCGAATCAAAACCCAACTCATCATCTGCATCCAAAACAAATTGATCCTTTAACTGTGTCACCTCAGCTGGAATCCCAAATGATGCAGTATGATTTGGAGTAATCTTCACCTAATGTGGAGTAGCATCACTCTCCACCCGCTGCGATACCTCTAAGGTCTGTCCAAAACTCTCCACCTGCTGAGAGTCAATTGGCTTCCTCATCGAAGCCTCATCCAAAGTGACACAATCAGACCTATCTTCTAATAGAGTTATGCCTCCAATCACAGCAGTTGATAACTCTTTAATAGGATGACCCAAATATGTCAAAGCCTCTGTCCAGAAACTCTTCTGCAAACCATTGCTCGACCACAAACACCGATCCTCCTCCAGCAAGGCACGGTTCTTCAAATTTGCCACCCTATCAAGTTGCCCCAAGATTTCCTTTCTAACAAAGTGTCTCGAAATGCCGTGAGCTCGGCTCCAATAAAGAAATAGGTCCATCTTGTACCTCCCACCAGAATGGAGTACCTTCACCTTTCTGTCTATTACACACTTCTTCAATCTGTTAGAGACTACTAGGACTTTCTTCAATGGGGATTTGGTTGCAACCCAAACACGCCTAGAACAGCCACCAACAAAGGAAACCAAACACCTATTACCTCCTAATGATGCCCCATTGGAAGGTCCCCAAACATCCACGTGAACTCCTCCAGAACGACCCTTAGCACGGTGAATAGAGGTGCCACACTTCACCTCGGTCTTCTTGCTCACATCAACATGTTCACTGGACTTCAAACTACAGGTCTTTGCACCCTCTTTCAATCTATGCGAAGAATCAATACTGGAATGGCCAAGCCCCAAATGCCGCAGTCTAGTCGAATCAACAGAAGTCGTCAGCTGTCCACCTGCCACTATACCTCCAGTCAAGTAGTACATGTTATTTCTCCTAACGCCCTTCATCAAAATACGAGAGTCTCTCGCAATCTCGAGAACCATGTGTTTTCGTCAAAAGTTGACTTTGTCGTGGAATTCATTATATCTTCGGTCGATTACAATAAATTTAAAAAAGAGATAGCCTTTTTATAAGACTCCTTTTACACAACAAAATAAAAAATTACAACTCTTGAGAAACCTTTTTATAAGACTCCTTTTACACAACAAAATAAAAAATTACAACTCTTGAGAAACAAACGCAGGATCGTTGTTTGGATCGCTGCTTGCGTGAGATCTTTGCCTGTGCCGGGAGCGCTTTGACTCATGGACCACCAAATCACAGATCCTGATTGAATCGTGAAGGGTTTAATGATTCTGACTTCGTTTATCGAAGTGAGAACTTGAAATGATATCTTATCGAAGTAAGATAGTCGTTCTTCTTAAGATCAAGTCAAAGCTCGAATCTCAAGGAATGGCCAGAAGCTCAGGAACTCTGTTCTCTCTGCTCTGAAGCGCTCAAAATGATCCGCGCCCTCAAAAAATGGCCTTCGGGGGGTATTTATAGTCCCTATGAACAGTTGGCGGAAAACAGGCTCGCGAGACAACATTTGCTGTCTCGGCTGTCGAGACAGTGTTTGCTGTCTCGGCGGGCGAGACAGTGTTTGCTGTCTCGGCCCGCGAGACAGTAAACGCTGTCTCGGAAACAGTAATCGTCAGGCAGTTTTCATTTTAACTGCCTTCCCACGTTTAAAACTCCGTTATTTTGGCAGTTATCCACGTGATTCTCGCCTACGACGTTTCCCACGTTCTTGAACAGTTAGTGACCACGTGTAAGGCAGTTACAAAGGCAGTTTTGACCATCTGAAAGCTGTCTCACGTGTGAGACAGTAAAGAATGTCTCTCACGGCGAGACAGTGAAGACTGTCTCGCGTGGGCAAGGCAGTAAAAGTCTGTCT